TAGATTTACTTTTCTATTTCTTTTTATAGTTGTTATCATTATAATTATGATTATTATTATTATTGTTATTGATGAAACTACTTACTTGCTAATACTGCATGTAAACGAAGGTAACGAATGGCCGGAATATCCTGTTTTTGGACCCTCTGATCCTTCTCCCAAAGCTTTTACGGATCCGCAGAAGACCGGGAGCAAAACCAGTGAGAGTACTCCAACTTGAGCGGCCATTTGTCCCATCTAAATCGGTCGCAAACTAGACGAATTACATACCAAAATAAAGCGAATTTCTTACTCCATTCGTATGTGGCGGTATAATTGAGATTTGAGAACTAGGACCCATAATTGAGAACTAGGACCCATTCTTACGCGCTAACCGTGATACGACACTTTGAACGCCTTCGAAAATTGCGTTATCGTAATTTTAAAAAATGAATTTTGACCCATTAAATCCTAAAGCTTTGGTGCTTCAAAATAACTTCTAAAGTAGCTTTAATATATTTTTGTAAATTTTGTTGGTAAAATTAATCACTATCAAAACTTCTCTTGGTAATCGAGCCAAAGGTTCCAAATTTTGTGTGTTCTTGCGTCAAACAGTGGTGGAGATGTGGTCGCCGAGACTTAATATGGGCTTTTTTTAAAGGTGAGTTTAACATGTTTTCTTTAATGTCGTCACAGCCTCAAGATTTTCCCGAAACCTTGCACACAAGAAGAGGGATTTAGAGTTTTCGTGACGCGTGAATCGCTGTTTGAAGTGAACAAGACGCGATAATTTTTGTCCAAAATAGTGCGTAAAAGTGGATCAGGAACCCCTTATCCACCCCTTCCCACCCCCTTTCCTAAATAAAAAATTAAGAAAAAAAGAAACTCGTCTGGCATGCTCCATTGTTAGTGGTAATTTAGGTTTGCGTGCGCTTAACCCTGTAACTCCCAGATCAAATTTGTAATTCTCCTTACAGTCAACCATACAATTCTTGTAATGTTAGTTCAAATAATTTAGTGTTGGATCAACTAACTATTCTCAAATTGATATTTTTCTTTATTCTCATCACTTATCTAGTTGATATTGCATTGATATTGTAAGGAGAAATTCTGTCTTGGTCACTCATGGGAGTTAAAGGGTTCAGATTTGTTTCAGATTTGTTTCAGATTTGTTTCAGATCTGTTTCATTGTTCAAGCCGTTATGAGTCGACCTCATTCCTTTTCAAGGAAAGACCTAAAGGTCATTTCCGGCTAAATGTGTATTAAATAAATATGTGGCATTGTTGTTTTCTAAACTAAAAACCACTGCAAAGATGATGTGTACGGAAGGAACTTTGATGCTGATTTTAAATGTATTCGTCTTTGTCTTTGTTATATCAAGCCAATCGACAGCAGGTAAGAGACACTTTGACTGTTATCCTTTGCACAAATCTTACATGTTGACAAGGCACCCTCTTAATTGCATCAAAAATATGCTAGGAAGGAAGTCAAAGTAAAGAATTCAATGTAGTCAACGTTTGGCTTTTGAGTTTTAAGTTCAAGGTCGGGTTTGAATAAAAGCCTTACCTAATTCACAAGTCCTTCTAGAACCCCATACTTTCAAGTGCGCCTTACTGGCGAAATTTTCCGCTTACATTTTTATTGAAGCACTGATGCATGGCGCCTTTCGTTCCATCATTCGTGCGTCATACAGCCATTAAAAACAGGACGACAAGCCGGTGATGTCTCCAGCCAAATTTTGCGTAAACTCGCTATAACCTATTTTTAAATTGTTAACTTTTCTAGATCTAAATTTAGGATTTTGTGTCCCCTAATACGGGGAAACAATATACTTTCGAAAATCAGTGAAAGAGAGCTTTGTTTAGTTAGAAGAACAGGGCTGCAATAAAATTTCTTCTTGAAGTGATTGGTCAAGGTCCGACATTGACTTTCAAGTGAGCGGTGCAGTGTCGACTACTCTCTATGAACACATTCCTAAATAAAAAATGAAGAATTAAGACTTGTCTCGCCATGGCATGTTCCAGTATTATTTGTATGTTGAAGTTCGCTTGAGCTTTAGATTCTTTTGTGCTTTGTGTTCATTGTTTAAGAAGTTAGGAATCAACCCCATTCCTTTTTAAGGAAAGACCTACAGGTCATTTCTGGCTAATTGATGTGCCTCAACTTATGGAATTATTGTTTACTGAACTAAACACTGATGCAAAGATAATGTTTTCGAAAGGAATTTTGATGCTATTTTTAACTTTATTCGTCTTCGTCTTGTTCGTTATACCAAGGAAATTGACTGCAGGAAGGAGAGACTTTGGATGTCATCCTTTGCACAGAGTCAATTAAGGATCCGCGATCATCCGAGACGGGCGAGACAACGGGGGGTTGTAATGCAATAGAGTTTCGTTGAAGCTATCAATAAGCTGTTTTTACGTTTCGAGACCAGCATAGATAACATGACTCCTTAGCATCACAGACATTTTGAGAGACAAATTTACATGCTGAGAAGGCACCCTCTTAACTGCATCAAAAATATGCTAGGAAGGAAGAAAAACTAAAGAATTCAATGTAGTCAGCGTTTGGCTTTTAAGTTTTAAGTTCAAGCCGGACCTAATTTACAAGTCCTTCTGGAACCCCGTCCTTTCAAGAGCGCCTTCCTGGCGAAAATTTCCGCTTACATTTGTACGTATCCGAACGCTGATGGCGCCTTTCGTTCCATCATTCGTGCGTCATACAGCCATGGGAAACAGGACAACAAGCCGGTGATGCCTTTAGCCAAATTTTGCGTAAACTCGCTATAACCTATTTTTAAATTGTTAGCTTTTCTAGATCTAGTCGAATACTACCCTAACATTGCCATTTCGATGCGCTCGATTGTAAACAGGGACATAAATTCATCAATTGTCGCTTGATTGTTTTCCAACAGTACCGTCGCCTATTTGGTTAGGGACAAATGTCGTTGTCGCTTTTTGTTAGAATAAAAATGTCGCTGTCGTACTAAATTTAGCAATAGATTAATTTCTGACGTCATTAATTGACAAGCTGATCGCACAACAACGCACGATTGTAAAGGTAACCATGCATTGCATGGAATGAGGAAGTGATGGACGCGATAGAGATCAAAGAAATTAGGCGAACATATTTTTTCAACTGCAAGGTTTCAAAAGAAAAAAACACCGTATGGAACATATATTCATCTGAAAGAGCATTTTCTAAATTCGAGTGTTATTGACCTAATACGGAGACACAGTACACTTTCGAAACTCATTAAAAGAAAGCTTTGTTTGGTTAGAAGGATACGTCTGCAATAAAATTTCTTCTTTGAGCGACTCTTTGAGGTCCACTATTGACTTTCAATTAGGTGGTGCTGCGTCGGTAGGGGAGTATAAAAAGATCATTTCAGTCTCATCAAACGAGTTGATAATGCAAATTGGCCAACGTAAAGAGATTCAAAGCTGACGTTCATCAGAGCGAGTGGCGAAAGGCTAACGCCCGAAACGTCAGCTTTGAAATTCTCTACGGTGGCTAATTTACATTATCAACTCAGTTGATAAAACCAAAATTTATCTGTAAATATATTTTATATAGAACAATAGTCAATTGAGTATCAAAAGTAATCCAGGATCGCTTTGGTTTTACAACAAATTACTCTGTGATTGGTCCAGAAATCTAACGTCATCCTCTCGACCAATCAGATGCATAACTAAAAACAATCGCGACTTGGTCATTCACGTTTTCCCGCGCTTCAAGCATTTAGCAAATGATGATGTAAACCTTTTTTTTCTGATTGGTTGCAGCGATTGCTTTGGTTTTGGGTTTTTTGAAATTCAATTGAAAACTGCCCAATAAGGTAGAAATCGCCACCCAACCTCTATGTGTAGGATCGAGGTTTAAAAGCGTTTGTACCCAGTCCCTTACTCGTTTAGACCATAAGCATAGATGAACTATTTCGTAGTAATACTTTTCTTTGATTTCAGAAGCTTCGCTGATCGCTAACTACGACATCATGAGGTGTTACGAAGTTGACATTACATTTCACTATCAAATAGATGGAGGACTCACAAATAGCACCACAACAAATACCAAAGTGCAGTTTTCTTCTCTTATTCAACAATTTCTCTCACCTCACCCAGGGTGCAGTGGTGTCATGGTCACCAGGAAAGATATACTCAGCTCTCCACCGGGAGTGAAAAGTATATTTTTTACAATACCGATGATATTCACTGCATCAACAAATGTAGCAGATGGTCAAATTTCAACAAAGATTGTAGCTTGTATAAGTACCCTAAGGACGCCAAGTTATAAGGGATTTATCGACAGCAAGACTCCGAGTATATCCCAAAATGGCACTCATACTACGTACAATACATCCACTATATCCGAGAAGCGATCCTGCTGTGGTGGGAGTATACCGCCGCCCTGTTGCACCGTGGGCTCAGTCAATGTGTCAAGTAGTAAATGTGGTAAGTTTAAACAGCATATGGATTTTATTTGTAGTTGACCCATGGATAGTTGACCAGTTGAAAATATTGATCCGTCTCTAAGCTGAGTTCTTTCTCCTTTCTGCAGGTTGTTTGCCAGGGTTCCATTTTGTTCCTGGCAGTTTATGTCAGCGTTGTCCTTCAGACACCTATCAGGACGAACAAGGTCAAAGTTCATGCAAGAAGTGTCCAGGAAGAAAACAAACATTTGGAAAAACAGCAATGACCAGCAATTCCAGCTGCCTAGGTAAGCCTTAAATATCAGGGAACGTGTCGGTAAAATAGGGTTTTTAGGAAAAAGGAGGGCGCACTTGAGCTCGGATATACCTTCCAGTATCAGTTCCGTTTTCTTCATTTCTCTTGATTAGCGTCATACATTTAGTGCTGTTTGTCTCCTTCAGTGCCTTGTCACTGAAACTGTTGTGGTAGATGCTTCTTTTCCATATTTTGCACAATCGGTCTCAAAAAAGTTTTCAATTTACTTTCGAAAGACCAAAACTAAAGTAATCCCAGCGACAAACCAGAACTAAGGTTTACATTATCAGTAGCCAATGGGAACTCAAAGTGAAAATAACCAAACTGCTTGAGGGTGCGTCTTGCATCTGATTGGTTGAGAGGATGGTGTGACTTTCTGGACCAATTACAGAGCAAAGTTAAGTAAAACCAAAGCAGTCTTAGATTAATTTCGAAAGTCAATTCAAAGTCAGGAACTGAGTCTTGACGGGCAACGACTGGTCAATATTTATCGCGGGGGTGAGGGGAGGGGGGGGGTCGGAAGATTTGGTTTTGTCACGATAAAGTTTACTAACCACCCTCCCGCTAGGGGCTGGTCCCCTCTCACTGTACTTTGTGTTTCCTTGCAGACCCTCCATTGATTGGTAACTACGACGTCAAACGATGCTATGTACTAGACGTCATATTCAATTACCGAATCCCAGGAGGCCTTACGGTCAACACCACCAGAAATGTCATAGGGGAGTTTCAAAGTCTTTTTCTGGTTGTACACAATCTATATCTTTCTCTTCAACAATGCAAAGAGGTGATAATCACAATCGGAAATATAACATCATCTCCACCAGGAGTTAGTCTTGTTTACTTCCGAGTACCACTTACTTTTACAGCATCAAATAACATAGCTGATGATCAAGTGGCTATAAATGTTACAACCTGTGTAAACGCTGCAAATGTCTCCTTAAAAGGATATATAGACCGAAGTGCTCCAAACATAACTCAAAACAAAACCACATACCAAATTAACCAACAGTCTTCATTGGAGAAGAAGTCATGCTGTGGTGGGGATATACCGCCGCCCTGCTGTGCCGTTGGCTCAATCAAGGTTTCAAATACTAGTTGCGGTAAGGATTTTCATTTCTATTTTGAAAGAAATAAACATTCCACCAATAAAATGATACACACGGTTTGTGCAGTGGTATTAGTACTAAATGCAAGCGCGGTAAAATTCCCAAAAGTGTTCTCGTCCCTAAATCCCTCTCCTTGACACTGGACAGAATCTTGGTTTTTTTTTTTCTCTCCAACGTTTTAGACAAATTTTGTCACTTTTTCAGGTTGTTTGCCCGGATTTCACCACGTTACCGGCCGTTCGTGTGTTCCTTGTCCATCTGACACTTATCAGGATGAACAAGGACAAAAGTCTTGTAAGACTTGTCCAGCTAATACAGTAACATTTGGTAAGACAAGAATGACAAACAAGGCCAACTGCACAGGTATGGGCAGCAAAAAAACTGCGCTAAGGTTCGTTTGACTTTACATACACCTCTCCTATCCTATCAAACATTCGAGATTGCTTCGTTTTCTTTTTAGATACAAATGCTCTGCAAATTCACGACCAAGTAGTTTTCCTGCTTGAAAACATCAACAACGAAAAGATAGTCGCGAATGTTACTTTTACTACAGTTCTGACTTCCCTTCCTAACAGTGTCCGCGTCCCTTAATCCCTCTCCTTGAAAAATCCTTTGACACTGGACAGAATCTTTGTGTTTTTTTCTCAAACGTTTCAAACAAATTTTGTCACTTTTTCAGGTTGTTTGCCTGGATTTCACTTCGTCACTGGCCGTTCGTGTGTCTCTTGTCCTTCTGACACTTATCAGGATGAACATGGACAAAAATATTGTAAGACTTGTCCAGTTAATACAGGAACATTTGGTAAGACAAGAATGACAAACCAAGCCAACTGCACAGGTATGGCAGCAACAAAACTGCGCTAAGGTTCATTTGACTTTTCATACACCTTTCCTTTCCTTTCCTATCAAACATTTGAGACTTGCTTCGTTTTCTTTTTAGATACAAATCCTCTGCAAGTTAACGACCAAGTAGTTTTCCTGCCTGAAAACATCAACAACGAAACAATAGTCGTGAATGTTACTGTTACTGCAGTTCTGGCTTCCCTTGTTCGACCATTTAAGTTTTACGTAGATAATGTCACACAGCCACGACTACTGTCACGCGAGGTGTCAAGGCGAAAGCGGCGTCGTGTTGAAGTTGATTCTCAGTGTACACACGCTGAGCTCTGTCCTCAAATGTTAGTCGATCTCTGTTTTAAGGCAGGTGCCGTCAAACCAGAAAATTATTTCTGCATTCATCGATTCACTGGACGAATAAGGATAACGCAAGACTTTGTCTTCAAGGAAGGTGAAGTATTTGATTTACAAATACGCGTGACGGACAGCGACCCAAGAGGAATAACCGTAAACAAAGCCAAAGTCAAACTCATTTCTGGTGACCCGTGTAAGAACGTCCAAGCGATTTATGATGAAGCCGTGAAATATTGCATCAAGAATTCAGAATCTGTCGATGGAGGAAAGAAGTGCTTGAGTATTCAGTGCACAGAGACTGCCCATGAGTGGAAAGAAGCACTTAACAGTGCAAGTAAAGTACCAGAGAAAGACTGCTCAGCTGATCCCCATAATCTTACAGTGCTCATCCGCGAAAACCCACGTTGTGGTAAGTAGTCACGTGTTGTAGAGTCTACTCTATCTCCTCGTCTTATCACGCAACACGTGCTCTTTCTCAGAGAGCGCGTTGCGTGACCAACAAGCAAAGACTTCGAAGGAGACTGGAGTCGACTCCCAAAAACAGTAACTTTGAAGAGTATCGATGGATACAGTTTGTTACTCTCCCCTCCCCCCTTCCCTTTGCCGTCCACACTAAATGTCCGAAAACACTGATGAAAGCGACAGAGTGATGTTTTTCACGTCACCATTTTGAGAAGCATCCGTTTTCACCTGTCCACAAAAGAAATTGGGCGTTTTCAAGACTCCACTTTTGAAATCGTCTTCGACAGTGTTCATTTTATTCCCTTTCATCAGGTGTTTCGGTGTGGACGAAAGAGAATGGGGCTATATGACCGCCGTCAGACAAGTTGATTGCTGTTGACCTGTATTGCAGATTGTTAACTCTCCGAGATGTGTTTTTCACCAAAGATGTACATTTCGGATTTAATGCTGCAGTCAGAAATCCTAAATGTGCATTACTTATATCCACAATTCAGAGCTTTGATAAGAGATCTGAATCGTCTGTTGCAAAATTTAAACAAGATAGATTTTCAGATCGGAAATCTAAATTGTTAACTACAGGTACTCACTTTAAATCAACTCAGTCGTTGACTTCTTTGGATTGACTCGAATTCTGCAACGTGCTTGGCAATTGTAAATTAAAGTTGCTTATTGCTAAAATTTTTGCTGGGCAAACTTTAAATGCTACGTTCTCTCAGATTCCCTTATAGCATCTTTTAATCTTGAAAATATGGTATGGCAAAATTTGAACTATTTCCTTCTCATTTCAGCCGTTTATCAGCTTGTGAACGCAGAAGTGTTTCCAGTTGTTACTTCTCTTAACAGGCTAGCCCTTTACAAGTACAATTTGTGCAGTTCAACATGCGTTGTCGGATGCTGGCCTCCTCTAACTACGGTTCTGTTTTGAAAGCAGCTTCAAACTCTTTATAAACAACATTTAGTGCTTTACTCACCCTTTTAGTCTTTATTCCAATAGGTCTCTGGAGTTGTTGCTGTTGGTAAGTATGTCAACATCGAATATGGCGTACGCATGTGAGTTAGAGATTATCCACTTCTTAGATATTTGAGGCTGCTAAGGGTCGCCGCTTGGGATTTGAAGCAGCGTGCATTTTAGAGATCAGAAGCAAACTCTTTGCAAACAACATTTAGTGCTTTACTCACCCTTTTAGTCTTTATCTTAATAGGTCTGCGGAGTTTTTGCTGTTGGTAAGTATGTCAAGATTGAATATGGCGTACGCAACTGAGTTAGAGATTATTGTTTTCTCACAGTCCCACATAGCATCTTTTAACCTTGGTAGCATGGTGATAATGGCAAATGGCAAAATTTGAACTATTTTCCGTCTCCTTGCAGCCGTTTATCAGCTTGTGAACGTAGAGGTGTTTCCAGTTGTCATTTCTCTTAACAGGCAAGCCCTTTACAAGTACAATTTGTGCAGTTCATCGTCCGTTGTCGGATGCTGGCTTCCTCTAACTACGGTTCTGTTTTGAAAGCAGCTTCAAACTCTTTACAAACAACATTTAGTACTTTACTCACCCTTTTAGTCTTTATCTTAACAGGTTTCCGGATTTGTTACTGTTGGTAAGTATGTCAACATTGGATATGGCGAACGCAAGCGAGTCAGAGATTATCCACTCCTAAGACATTGGAGGCTGCTGGGGTCACCGCTTGGGATTTGAGGCAGCGTGCATTTGAGAGGCGATGGAGACGTCAGTGGCTGATAAAACTCCGTTTTCTTCCCAACAAATAAAATAGGGACCTTTAGCAGTTAGGACGGCAACACCAAAGAGGACATAGATTTAAAAAAATGAATATTTATTTTTAGTTGGAATTTCGCGAATGACTGGATGTGTTTACCATCTCTTACGGCGCACATGTAGCCCCGGTTTTTTGAAGCTCGGATAATGCTATTCACTGGATAAATCTCTATCTGGTGGATAACGCTATACGTTTTTCTATCACTTATCCGTTGGAGAGCGATTTATCCATTGCATATCATTATCCGCCCTTTACACAACTGGGCCCTGGATTTAAAACATTTGCATCAGTTATAGTTTAGGAATACAATAAACTTGAACCTTCTTGAGTTTATTTAGAATGCTGACTCACGAGTATCTGTGTTCAAAATGGAGAAACTGAAAAGGAGGTTGCTTCGGATCTCTTCGGAACGCCTTCGAAAATGGAAGCAAGTTTTCGGTTATCATATGGTACTATGCGACATATTTTGAAGGTAAAATGTCACGTCCAGGACTTCACGAAAGTTGACAGGTATATCGTTACAAAGGTGATCGCATGAAAGAAGTTATCGCTTATGAAAGGCCCCTAATATAGTAAAAAAAATTGCCACCACTGAGAAGTGGTTGCTAGGAAAGGTTCGACTGTGATGCGAAGGTATTTTGTGACAGCGCTACCTCGTGTCACGTCATCTTAACGCCGCTGACCTTCTCTCGACTAAAGCAAACATTCCGTTGAAGATAAGGAAGTCAATGGAAGTTGGCAGGTTCTCATGAATTGAGTTACAAAAAGGGATTTGTGCAAATAATTGCTGTGATTCGAAGGCCATTGCCCACAATTTACTCTCTTCTAATCATCGGACAAACGAATGAAAGAAAAATCGAAACCTGGGCAAAGCAGTTTACCATCCTTATCTTGAAGGCCTATTTCCTGACTCTTATTTTGTTTTTTGTTTGTTTGTTTGTTTTGGTGGGGAACGGCTATACACAGGCTTAAGGCTTTCTAAGCTGAATTTTTTAGTTTTAGTAGTTTGTCGGAGCGAATGAGCGAAACGCTCGAAACGTCAGCTTACAAACTCTTTACGGTGGCCAATTTTCATTATCAACTCAGTTGATAAAATAACATTATGTTGTTACACTGCCCCACCGAAGCAGCACCAGGGCTTCTTTAGAAACTTATCCCCCTTTGTACACAGGGTAGACTTGTGATAAGGCCAAAATAATAATTTGATGCGTGAATTTTAATGAAAAGAGAGCGTGATTCGTAAATTCGTGATTCGTATGAGCCGGCGTGAAGCGTGACTTACCTCCTGAAATATACGTAACCCTTGAATTTTTTCTTTAATGTGGTCACAACCTCAAGATTTTCCGAAAACCTTGCACACAAGAAGAGGGATTTGGAGTTGTCGTGACACGTGAATCGCTGTTTGAAGTGTACGAGACGCGATGTTTTTTTTTTTCTAAAATAGTGCGTAAAAGTGGATCAGGAACCCCTCTTCCATCTCCCCCTTCCCTGAATAAAAAAATCTAAAAATTAATAAAGAACTTGTCTGGCATGCTCCAGTGTCAGTGGTTTCGTCCTTGCAGCGGCTGCTTTAATCTTTTATTATGTTTCTTCACTCGGAGAAAAGAGGAATGTGAACAATTTTCTTCGCTCTATCTACTGTAGTGAGCAAAACTACTGATTTCAAACATGACTCCATTGATACAGTGTCCAAAAAGGCCCTTTATTAACTCAGGCGAGTATGATTTTAGAAAATTGTCCCTAGTTTAAATTTTGATGTTTTAAAGCTCGAGGATAGAAAATTCTTCATACCGGCGGTTGGCGATAGGAAATCGGAGGGGGGGGGAGGGTGGCAATTACCCATCCCCTCCCCTCTATTTCGATTCCAATTCTATATCAAACAAGGCAGCATGGAAAGGAAGGAACAATGATGATAATCAAACGTGACTGCCCGGAGGACCATCCCTTGTAGCGCTAACACGCTCTCTACGATAAGATGTCTGCACTGCAGGCTGATGAATCCCAAGAATGAAATTAACACCCAATCGTGCTAGTTATCTGCATCAATTGTGTAGGATAAAGGAAGCGCGTACGATAGTTTATCAAAAGGCTTCCTCTACAAAGTCGTTATAAACGGAAAACAGCAGACATCTTCGAACTCATGTAGCCTTGTATAGAGCAATTTTTCTATTGAGTATCGAAGTAGTCTGAAATTACATTGTTTTTGCTTTACTTCACACTGTTATTGGTGCAGAAAACTCGCGTTACTTCCACGACCAATCAGATGCAAAAATAAAACAAATCACGACCTGGTCGCCCGCATTTTCCCGCGCTTTAGACAATTTGGTAGTTTTTACTCTGAGTTCTCATTGGCTCCTAAAATATTATCCTTCTTCTGATTGGCTGTTGTAATACTTCGGTTTTGGTTTCGCGACACTCAATCAAGACGCACTTTATCACGCTTTAGTTAATTAGTTGTCGTGCTCAACATCACAAATTCACCACTCTTACATCCATCAGGAGAAGTGCGGCTGTCTCCTCTCTCAATAACAACTGCGCTCGTTTGGAGACTTCTTCTTCTTCGTTTCTTCATGTTCTTTCATTACCTGAAAACAGTAGAAGAATTTCTGTCAGAATTCAGCCAGGAAGATTACCTTTAATCTGTTTGCGTAACATAAGTAAACTCTTTAGAATGGCGCTACTCAAAAGCAAAAACAAAAAAGCTTTATTCTTTGTTAGAGAATTCGTATGCTGACCGGCTAAAAGAGTTTTACGTTGATACCAGGAATGTGCGGTAAATGTTGATAAAACATCATTTTCTCCCGACATTCTCCATTTAGGAGCTACAGCCATTAGAGCCCGCAATGTTTACCTGTGCGTGACGAGCTACGAGAAGAGCGATGTTTACCGAAAGTAGCGTATATGGCTTCACTGTTAGCGATACAGAGAGTCTATACAGTTCTCACCAACAATCTGTGGCAAACTTGTTAACCTCAGTCCTCAACAAGAATTTTGAAACTATAACTTTATATTCGTCAAAGCGATTGTACGCCAACGCTCGAAACGTCAGCCTTTAAAGTCTTTACGGTGGCAAATTTACGTTTTCAACTTAGTTGTTAACACTAAATTACCTGTTATTCTGGCGATGACGAGGACTGGTCACGTGTCACCTTACGAAATTCGCCCCTTTGTAATTGGCTGACGAGCGCTTAGGCTTAGGCTTAGGCGCGAAACTCAGAGTAACGGAGAATCGATGCGTCCTCTTTGATTCTTTCACTTATATCTACTCAGCTCTGCTACCACAGTATTGAGCAGTTTATGCCAAGGTAGACTCTACCCCCACATTTATATATACATATATATATGTGATAGAATAGGATCTTTATCATTATTCTTTATACTTTATCTATCCATCAGAATATTTTGATTTCACAAAATTTAATTTACATATAGTAGATCTATATACATCATTTTATAACTTTTAAAACATTTTAAATTTATTTTTTACAATTAATATTATAATTATTATTTTTAGCAATAGATATGGACCTCGAATGAGATTCATATGTTTTTAATAGAGCCTAATATGATATTCTTAACACGTGTATTTATATATTTGTTTATCATAAGTAGGTTAGATTTACTTTTCTATTTCTTTTTATAGTTGTTATTATTATAATTGTTATTATTATTATTGTTGTTATTATTATTGTTATTCATGAAACTACTTACTTGCTAATACTGCATGTAAACGAAGGTAACGAATGGCCGGAATATCCTGTTTTTGGACGCTCTGATCCTTCTCCCAAAGCTTTTACGGATCCGCAGAAGACCAGGAGCAAAACCAGTGAGAGTACTCCAATTTGAGCGGCCATTTGTCCCATCTAAATCGGTCGCAAACTAGACGAATTACATATCAAAATAAAGCGAATTTCTTACTCCATTCGTATGTGGCGATATAATTGAGATTTGAACATGCACGAAAGAACTAAGACCCATTCTTACGCGCTAACCGTGATACGACACTTTGAACGCCTTCGAAAATTGCGTTATCGTAATTTTAAAAAATGAATTTTGACCCATTAAATCCTAAAGCTTTGGTACTTCAAAATAACTTCTAAAGTAGCTTTAATATATTTTTTCTAAATTTTGTTGGTAAAATTAATCACTATCAAAACTTCTCTTGGTAATCGAGCCAAAGGTTCCAAATTTTGTGTGTTCTTGTGTCAAACAGTAGTGGAGATGTGGTCGCCGAGACTTAATATGGGCCTTTGGTAACGGTGAGTTTAACATGTTTTCTTTAATGTCGTCACGGCCTCAAGATTTTCCCGAAATCTTGCACACAAGAAGAGGGATTTAGAGTTTTCGTGACGCGTGAATCGCTGTTTGAGGTGAACAAGACGCGATAATTTTTGTCCAAAACAGTGCGTAAAAGTGGATCAGGAACCCCTTATCCACCCCTTCCCACCCGCTTTCCTAAATAAAAAAAAAAAATTGGCCGGCATGCTCCATTGTTAGTGGTAGTTTAGGTTTGCGTGCGCTTAACCCTGTAATTCCCAGATCAAATTTGTAATTCTCCTTACAGTCAACCATACAATTCTTGTAATGTTAGTTCAAATAATTTAGTATTGTATCAACTAATTATTCCCAAATTGATGTTTTTCTTTGTTCTCATCACTTATCTAGTTGATATTGCATTGATATTGTAAGGAGAAATTCTGTCTTGGTCACTCATGGGAGTTAAAGGGTTCAGATTTGTTTCAGATTTGTTTCAGATCTGTTTCATTGTTCAAGCCGTTATGAGTCGACCTCATTCCTTTTCAAGGAGAGACCTAAAGGTCATTTCCGGCTAAGTGATAATCTTAAATATGTGGAAGCGTTGTTTTCTAAACTAAAAACCACTGCAAAGATGATGTGTACGAAAGGAACTTTGATGCTGATTTTAAATGTATTCGTCTTTTTCTTTGTTATATCAAGCCAATCGACAGCAGGTAAGAGACACTTTATGTGTTATCCTTTGCACAAATTTTACATGTTGACAAGGCACCCTCTTAATTGCATCAAAAATATGCTAGGAAGGAAGACAAACTAAAGAATCCAATGTAGTCAGCGCCGTTTGGCTTTTGAGTTTTAAGTTCAAGGCCGGGTTTGAATAAAAGCCGGACCTAATTTACAAGTCCTTCTGGAACCCCGTACTTTCAAGTGCGCTTTTCTGGCGAAATTTTCCGCTTACATTTGTATTGAAGCTCTGATGCATGGCGCCTTTCGTTCCATCATTCGTGCGTCGTATACAGCTATGGAAAATAGGACAACAAGCTGGTGATGACCACGGCCAAATTTTGCATAAACTTACTATAACCT